CAGCATCCCCAGGGTCATGTGATTTACATTCGGATGCTTGGCAACCGATTCATATTTATGATGGTCACATTGTCCCAGAGTCATGTGATCGCCTTTTGCAACCTTCTGACAAGCAAAGTCAGTGGGGAAACCAGATTCACTTAACAACCATTTTACTAATTTAACAACTGCAGTTATTCACTTAACAACTGTGGCAAGAAAAGTCATAAAATGGGGCAAAACTCATTTAACAAATTTCTCTCCCCCCTTTTATATCCTCTTCTCTCCCTTTATATTCTCTCTTCTCCCCCCTTTTATATCTCTCTTCTCTCCCCCTTCTTATACCATCTTCTCTCTTCTTTTACATGCTCTTATCTCCCCTTCTTTTATATCCTCTCTTCTTTCCTCCCTTCTTTTATATCCTTTCTCTCCCCTCCTTTTATAGCCTCTCCTCTCTTCTCCCCCTTTTGTCTTCCGTGCACCTCCAGCTGATTCCCCTCAAGGCTGTGCTTCTCAGTCTATCTTTTGCAGTCCTCTTATCTTTCCCCCATTTTTTTTTTCTCTTCCTCTCCTGCCAAAACCTCCTTTTATAGCCTCTCCTCTCTCCCCCCTCCTTTTCTCTTTCGTGTGCACCGGAAGCACTGATCCTGGGGCTTCTGTCTTGCCCCTGCAACCCTGCAGAAGTGCGTGCCAATCCTGGGCTTCTGCCCAGCCCCCATAGCCCTGCAGAAGCGCTGGTCAGCTGTAACTGCTCCTGGTGATCCTGGGCTTTGCTCAGCTCTGACAGCCCTCCTTCGAACTGGGTCATTTCCAACCAAGTTGCCTTTCTAACCAAGTTCCCTCCCTCCTTCCATGACTTTTTCCTTCCTTCCTTCCTTCCTTCCTTCCTTCCTTCCTTCCTTCCTTCCTTCCTTCCTTCCTTCCTTCCTTCCTTCCTTCCTTCCTTCCTCCCCTGCTTCTCTTTCCTTTCTCCACGCTCAGGAAGGGATGACAGGAGGGGGAGAGATTGCCAGTGCTGCCGGTAGTCATGTTGCCGCCAGCTATAACTGTCCCATGCAGGCAGGGGCGGTCCCAATGAAAGGGAAGCCTGGTGGCTTCGAGGCGAGATCAGTGAGCAGGCGTGGTGCTGATCTACCAGTGGGGACCATCAAAGCTGGAATGCGCTCAGCCTTAGATCCACGGGGAGCTCTGGAGCCAGCAATCCCCCCGCCTCTGGGGATACACGGAGAAGGCGTTGAGCCGGGGGAAAGGGAAGCACTTTTCCTTTCTTGGCAGTCAGCAGGGATGGTCAGCAGCAATGCTGGGCGCTCGCAGCCCTTTGTTGGCCCTTTCCCGCCAAAGCCACCTCCTTTTATATCCTTCTCCTCTCCTGGAAGCACCAATCAGCTGGAACCCAGTGCTGATCCTGGCGCCTCTGCAGAGCCCCGACAGCCCTGCAGCTCTAGCTGTCTCTCCCTCAGGCTTGTGCGGTGCTGCCGCCACTTCAACTCATTCCTCTCCACCCCGCTACCACTTCGCATACGACGTGCCAGGTGGCAAAGTACCATTGGTGGTACCCGTACTACCGGTTGAAAAGCCCTGCTATAGACTAACATCACCATTATTTGCAGCCACCTTTTATTTCTTAATGCAACAACTGTCTGTGAAATAGTATCATTCCAGTAATTTTACTGTACATAATAAAATATAAATGTTAATCAGTTTAATTATCTAGATAAACTGAATCAAGCTGTGTCCTTCTATAATCTACAGAGTTTATTGATATTCCAACTGGTGCCAACCCAGCTCCCTACCTCACATGGGATTTTACTTTAAAAAAAATAACAAATTTGCAGCAGACATGCTGCAAAACAAAATGAGAGTGCCTTTATGCTCCCAATGTGTTGAAAAAGCTTTATTCAAAAATAACCAAAAGAGATTGCAAACCAATAGGCAGTTTAGAAGTATGCCCATCTTTTCAGGAAAAAATCCTCAATAAACAAATATAGTAAGAATTAGGCTGAAGGAATGAGGGCTAGAGATAATGAGAAACAACAACAGCAATCACTTTATAAGAATACCCACAATATGTTCTCAAAATATGAAAATGTTTACCATTCTACAAAAGATTAAAGATCCTTGTACTAATAAAATGAATGCTATTATTAGATAAAATTGGCTCCTTTCAGAACTGTAACGGATTAAAAATTCACTGGAACAATTTTGAAGACGTAAATGCACAAAGGGTCATATATACATATATATAGAGAGACAGCTCAATATATATCTGAAAGGCTATTTGTATGATCCTGCATCAAATCCCTTGGAAATCAAACTTTCAAAATAAAACATACCCAAATATGCGACATTCTATATTTTACTCTAACAATTTAGAATTAACTTGTGAAACAAAAAATCCATATTTTGAACCATCTTGTAACAATATTTAGACATAATCTAATACTTCAAATCTTTTTGATACAAAATTTAGTATAAAAAGGTAATGAAGTGTCTTATTTCAAGGCTTATCTTCTATACATCTATGTGTATGTCACAGCATTTACAAAAATTGGGGTAAATATCCCTGAGTTCCTAAGTTAGTTCCTAAATTTTCTTGAGACATGCATGACAACATTCAAACCACCTCAATGAAATAGAGAGTAGAACTCATGGCTATCACATAGATCAGACATGTCAAACACAAGGCCCGGGGGCCGGATGCGGCCCGCGAAGTGGTTTCATGTGGCCCGCGAAGCCATTCTGGAAACAGTGAGGGAACGGCCCCCTCTGCCTTGGCCCTGGCCCAGGCCGGCCGGGAGCCAATGTACAATTTTGTGGTGCCATCTATGCTGAAACGCATTCAGTCTTAGCTCCACAAGGCCGTCTAGAAATAGCGAGGGACCAGCCCCTGCTGTGTCGGCCCCGCCCCCTGGGTGCATGCTGGGGAGGTGTCACCCTTTGTGAGGAATGAAGAAATGGACTATGCCTTGGCGCTTGCCCCAGTCCCACCCCCTTCTGCCAGACACCCTCAGATCTGTCCCACTCCTGCCCAGGCCCCCACAGGCACCCTTGACGCGAACGATGTAGAGCTGGCCATGCCCACCCAGTAGGCCACACCCACTCCATCCACGCCCACCCAGTAGGCTGCACCCACCTGGCCCCCCGAGGGCAACCACAATGCTGATGCGGCCCTCAATGAAATTGAGTTTGACACCCCTGACATAGATACAGAGCATTAGTAGTTATTTTATCAGTCTACCTATGTAGCTGTCTTTCAAATTTGTATAGTTTCCCAACTCATAAAAAGTGATTCTGGGTGACATACAACAATGAATTAAGCTTTCATCAATTCCCTGGGTCTGGTAACAAAGCCAGGTCTTAAGGGACCTCCTGAACATCAATGGGGATGAAGCTAACTCCACTTCAAAGGGGGGGGGGGAGAAGAAGAATGATCCATAAGGCAGGCACCATGGCAGAGAAGGTCTGGCATCAGGGAGCCACCAAGCAAAGATCCCAACAGATAAACCCACAGCATATCTACTTTATTAAATCTGATGGCAAGAGCACATGTAATCGGGAACAGGCCGTCCCTGAGATAACCTGGTCCCACATCAAGAAGGGCTTTAAAGGTGAGAATTAGACCAGAAGTAAACTGGCAACTAATGCAGCCTGGGAGCAGTGGTATACTATATGCTTTTTTGGGAAGGGCACATAACTACCTGGGCCATTGCATTCTGCATCAGCTGAAGCTTCTGGATACTCCTTAAGGACAGCACTACTTGGACAGTATTACGTAGTCCAATCAGGACATGACTAAGGCATGAGTGACTCTGAGCAGAGCTTCCTAATCTGGGGATGAGTACAAGTGAAGCACAATACAAAGCTATGCAAAGGCCCTCATAGCCACAATTGTCACCTGATCTACAAGAAGGAATCACGAATCTAGGAGGATCCCAGATTACACAGTGAACCAGCATAAAACTGCCACCTACTTCCAATCCTCTGCGCTCTGCATTTCAGATGCTCAGTGTCTTGCTTTTACAAACAATTACAGCCAGGTGATTGTGATTTGTGATTTTTTTTTTTATCAGTTGCTCTAAGGTAAGATGGGCGGCCAATAAATGAGACAGATAGACAGACAGACAGACAGACAGAGACACAGACACACAGCCTATTCAGAAGAATGGGTTCACACTTATGACTACAGTGTTTGCTTAATGATTGTGGTGATTCACTTAATCACCACTGCAAAAAATGTGATAAAATTAGGTCCAATCATGTGGGTACCTCAATTTAGGATTATATCAAATTATGATCAGAAATATGATCCCAAGTGCAGTGATAAGTCAAGGACTATATGTATGTATGCGTGTGTATGTGTATGTGTGTGTTTATGTATTCAAAGAAATACAGAAAGTAATTTTATTTTTGAAATCTAAGGGTTCATCTTCTATTCCTTATAATATTACTATTTCTATCATTTATATTTATGTGGGTAGAGAGATTAATTCCTAAACCTATGGCAAATAAATTATTACATTGAAAGAACAAATTCTTAAGCCAAACACAAACAATATGAAAAAATAAAATCTTCAAAGAATGGAGAGCTGCAAAAGCAAATAATATAGTATACATAGGGTTAGGGTTATAAGAAGAATGAAACTTGGAAGTGTGATCCTGCCAAAATCCCTATCTGGAATACAGAAACTGTCACAATGGATTTGGCCAAGAGGCATTTAATAACAACAGTATTTCAGTTTTGCATCCTACCAAGCCTTTGCTGACAGACTCTGAAATTAAATGACTTTATAGCAACAATTTTGCTTCAAAGTGAAATTTATCATCCAGATAACCTAAAGAGATTTAAATGGGACTTTAAAAGTGACGAACAAGTAAACTGATATACTCAAATAGATTGTTTCTTCTAAGAATGTATGTCAAAAACTGAATTTAAAATGTAACTGTTTACACCCTTGCAAAGATATATAATAGAAAACAGATATTGTGTCTGACACTTTGTTTACAACAGAATTAATATTCACCTGTTTCAGGATCACTGAAATCTGGGAGAGTGATTGTGTTAAGCTGTCGCCTGTCAGCAATGGCTCTGTCCAATAAACTGCTGCCACGTCCAGAATCACTGTAGGAAATAATGCACTTTAAATCACTACAAGAGACATCATACCTTTGTGTACGTGTATATTATATGTGTATGTGTAGCTAGGCTGCTTGGAAAGGATTTGAAACTACATTGTCTTTTACATATTTACCTTTCAGTTTCTGAGACTTCTGAAGTAGTTAAAATTCAGCCATTATAAAATGCATTGTTTTTATTTGACTGTTAACACACACTTTTCTATAGGAAAGCAAGGCTACTTAGTGCTGCAAATGCAGCAACAATGCTACTAACAAATGATAAAAGTAGGACAAATTCTAGTTTCTTCATGCCTGCTTTAAATTGTAAAAGGACATCCTAATTTTTCATCCTGGCAATTTCCTCTTAGTGAAACTTCTAAATCCATTTTCAAGTAATGTCTTCTATGTAGAGAATAAAACTACTTCCCTTCTTTGTTCAGCTGCTATAAAAATGGTATAAAACACACTCTGCAAGACACTGAAGTAGGATTGCTGGACACCTAATTCCATGTCCAATGAATGATGCAATTACAATAATCCACAGGAAACAGGACGGAACCTTTCATCAAGCAATAAGTATTTCATTAATCAGCACACATTTCCTAGAAACTGCTGCATTAATTAGCTCGTTACATGTGCCCAATATTAATAATGAAAATAATGAAGCTAAAAGTTATTCGTCTCTTTTGGATACGTGGCTGCATGGTGCAGGGCGATCTGTTTGCCTTACTTCTTCTAATTTGATATTCCTTACATGAGTGATAAGAAGGAAGTGATATTATTAGCCAGAAACATATGTTAGACCTGTTTCAAACAAAGTCCATTCTGTGTTTTTTGTAAACCTGGTACTGTGTTTTCCTAAAAAATAAGACCCAGTCTTATTTGCTTTCAAAAGAGGCAGTAGGTCTTACTTTCGAAGGATGTCTTGTTTTTTCCCCTGAAATTGCCTCGCCTTGTGGCAGCTGCACCAACAGCCCCATCCAGCAGGCCACTGGCCCGGTTCTGTGGCTGCTCGTGGCCACAGGCTGCATAACCTGTCGTGCCATGCCGCTGCCACAAGGCGAGGCAGGTGGGAGAGGGAGTGGAACTGCCCCAAGTGCCCAAACACATTTTGCCCAGAGCGAGACTGGAAACTTCGTCTGCTCGCAAGTGGGGCGCTTGAAAACCAAGGCATTCACTCCGTTTCCAACAGCCCCATTTGCAAGCAGATGAAACTTCCAGTCTCCCTCTAGGCAAAAAGTATTTGGGCACCTATGGGGCGCCCAAACACTTTTCGCCTGGATGGAGAAATGACGGAGACTGGAAGTTTTGTCTTTCTTGCAAATGGGGCGGTTGGAAACGGAGTGAATCCCTTGGTTTCCAAGTGCCCCATTGGCAAGCAGACGAAGGTTCTATCTCGTCCTCTGGATGAAAAGTGCATGGTACGTCCGGATCACCTGCCTCCCCCCCGCCTCTGTGTGTTCGCCGCTGCTTGTGGGGCCACGCCCACCCCAGGCTTATTTTTGGGGTAGGGCTTATATTAGGCCCACCCCCCCAAAATCAGACTAGGGCTTATTTTCATGGTGGGTCTTATATTTGGTGAAACATAATATATAAAATGGTTACAATAAAATAAGAAGGCTGTTGCTATATAAATAATTTTTATTGTCTAATGACATCCACAACTGAGTTCCCTAAGGTATAAAAGGGAGTTTGTTCTGGGCAGATCTTCCTTTTCATACCTACAGCATGTCCCCGTAAAAAGGGTAGCTCAGTTACCCTTAGTAACAACTTAGCTGCTCTAGTGCACAAAGCATTTAGTAAATGACATTGACTTGGTTTCCTATGTTTAAAACATGAGTGATGATCCATTAATGAGGAAGTCTTTTATTGTGTAATGCAAGTTTTATGGGATTGTCATGTCAATCAATTTACAAATTTCAACTAGTTCTACAGGCAATCTGCTCATAGATGGTAAGCATAATCAAGCTATTGAATGAATGGTGCCATATGTTTATCTTTCCAATGTTGTAATATCAGTCTTTTGGATATAGTAAGGGCAAAGATAATGCAGATATGTTGCCCAATTGTCATATTCCATGTAATAGGTATGTAATTCAAGAGAATATCATTCTTCAAAATTTTAAATGTTTGTCACACAGTCATAATTCACTACTTTCTCCCAAAATTAAGTATAGGACATGGTGAAAACATGTGTTTTAACAAAATATTATCCTTATTACAGCTCCAACAGAATGCTGTCTTAGACAGATCTTTTACATTAAATATAGAGGACTCCAATAAATTCTAAGTTATTATCTTTTGTGTGTAAGTTGAAGTTTAAGGTCCATTGATGCTCTTGATATAAAAATTAAGTCACTTTCCCATTGTCTAGACAAGATAGGAGCCTCTAATTCTTTATTCCACTCATTTCTTAGTATCTATAAAATCCTATTCTTCCATATAAATTTCCCTCAGTAATGATAGGTTTTTTTTCATAATGGTGTATTTCTATTAAGTTCATTGAAATCTATTACCACTTTTATCATAAATACACCCATTCTAATATTTAAAATGTTCTCAAAACATAATAGGAGAATCTAAATTAGGTACATAGGCATTAACCATAGCTATTGCAGTCCCTTCTATTAATACTAGTGACCTCTATTCTCCAAGTTCACTGAATCTCCCTTTTCATTGCCAGAAGTTCCTCAGTAAACCAAGAACCCACAGTAGAGCTCTAATCTATAGCCTGATTCATCTCTGAATTCCAGAGATTCATGAAAGCCTCAGCCGAGCTGTCTATCAATTGCCAGTAAAATCTGCAAAGCAGCCAGGAATCCATCTGAATCTTTCAATCTTTACAAGAAGATCGTCTTTAATGTACTGAGTAATCTCTGTAATTGCACCAAGCTTCCATTATTGTTACCTTGATGGGCAGTTATAGTGCATAGTAAATTTACTTATGCCTGTGGATAAATCTGCTGTATCTTAATCTAGTATTCCCCAACTGGATGCCCCAAATGTGGTGGCATTATAATTCCCGTAATTTCTAGCCAGTAAGATGGAGAAAGATGGAATTTCTCTTAAATTTTTCCACAAGATTCTTTATAGATATTCTAACAATGCTTATCTTCATCACTTAAAACAAACATTTACAAAAATACATATTTTAAAATATTAATCTAGCTCAATGATTCAGATTTTTCCAATTAAAATGAAGAAAGCAATACTAAGTACCATATGTTAAAATAAAATCAATACTGAAAAAAATGGAACAATTGAACATCTCATAATAAACTACATTTTATAATTTTTAAAACTATGTATTATTTTGTTTATCAGATGATCCATAATTCACATTACTGAATCCATAATTCTTACCTGGGATTAGTAAGATTGTAACAAGACTTCCAGATCTGCAACATGTGTTTACAAGTAAGGAGTGCCTCATCAGGGCCCCTGCAGAGTAATTCCAATTTGACTTTTGAAAACAATAATCTAAGAGAAAACAAATGTTAAAGCTTCTTTATACTTTTATACAGGTCCATTATTTTGTACTTCCAATGAAAATAACATTGTTTTAAAGTAAATGCATGAAAAGGCAGAACAAGAAGAAATAGAATTGCATTTATTTCTATTATAACGCAATTGCATTTAGACTTTTATTTCAGTATGTCTAAATAACATAAAAATGTAATGTGTAGAAAGACAACTGTGTGGTATATACAGAACAAAGAAAAAGCTGGGAAGGGGCGTTGTCTTACCTGAACGCCTTTTCTCAGCACGGAGATGGAGGATCCACCCATGGGTAGTAGACTGTATTCCTGCCCAATCAGATTAAGTCAGCCAAAGTTGCCACGCCCGTCCTGGACCCAGATTCCAGTCTTGACGCGAGCGAAGCCATTGACTGACATAGGACGTACTGGCTCAGAAAACTAAACTA